AAATTTCTCTTAATAATGTAAAATAATTTAGAGTAGAAAATAAGTAATTATCCTGAAAGCTTTTTAAAAAGACAAAATTTCTTTCTCTTTATATTAAAGGAAAATATCAGGAAGATATTTAGGTTACTAGATGTCATTTAACTAATACATAGTCTATTAAATAGATTTTTAATTAATCTTTTTATACCTTAACAAATATTGACCATGTTTCTCAGTGCTGTTGGATAGCTTCCTGAAGCTATAGGCGCTTCTTTAGTTATGTAGTGTTGAAAAAATATATTGTAGAATTTGAAAGTTTCAAGAGTAGTGTATATGTTGAACAGTAGACACTGGTTACTTTTAACATTTGTATTTAAACCATGTTATATATGGTTCATTAATTTATATTAAAATTATTCATAGAGAGCAGACATTCTCAAATGTAGGTACAGTATAATGTTTGAAAGGAAAAAGGACAAGCATTTCTTGATGTAGGTCTTACATGATGACCCACAGCTGTAGCTTTTGTTCATCTGAACCAAGAACTTCTGCTGGTTTACCAGTCCACTTCTTTAAAATCATGGTTATGATTATATCCATTAAAAATACTACTCTTAAATGTATAATTTTCATAATGGCTGAGCAGTGTGTGAGCACAGTTCACAGGCTGCATTTTATGATCCTTCTCAGTCATCCCTCAGACATACCTTGGTATTCAATTTTCAGCATCACTCTTGATAAACTTTATATGCAGTTTTTAACACTAGCAGTTTCAGAGCTCCTTTAAATATTCATATTACAACCATTTTAGTGTCATTTTATGTGAAAATATGATTCCTGAGAGAAAGTGGCAGTTCTCAAGTCATGTGTGTGCTGGTGTTAGTTGCTAAAGCAACACAGAGATGGGATTATGTAAACATGCTGTGGGAACTTTTTAAAGGATAGTTATACTAAGAAAGACACAAGTTATGTTAAGCTCTGACTAGCAGACAAGGAAGAAGTTGAAGTATGAGTCACTCTGGAGTTAGGCTGAAGACTAATGAAAGATAGATGACTTAGGTCTCCTCTCAGATTTGAACTTTAAGGAAACAACTGAAAAAATTGTCAAAAATCTGCTGTGCACCTGTAACATGGAATTTAGCAAAAAGAAGTAAAGATAACCATGCTTCTTAACCCTTTCAGGGTTGGCAGGCCCTCTCCGAAACTTGTTCTCAGGGTCGCCCAAATTTAAAAAAAAAAAATATTATTTTTTCTTATGAAAAGATAGAGAATCTTTTCCCGATCATAATGACACCAAAAGTATGAAATTTGATGGAAAACTTACTGAATTATGCTCTCGCGAAGTTAGTGGTCTCGACGATGTTTGCGCATCGGCGATTTTGCCCACTTTGAGCCCTATTTTCAGCCAATTCCAGTATACTAGTCGACAAAAATCATAACTATTTTGCTAGAACTCCATTTTTTCTATCGAATAAGTACTAGAAACCACCCATTTACCAATTTCAACTATCCAATACAGTGTTCAGAATTTAGCAATTTTGCCAATTTCACACAAATTTCAAAAGATGCCAATTTCCAAAGAGGGTCCAGAATAAACAAGAAAGACATTCCTGGCACTAAAATAACATTTCCTCTGTTCATTAGTCACGTCCCCACGCCCCTCTTAAATTTCTTTTGCTTTCCTCTTTCAATTTTTATTCTCACAAAAAATAGAAGATTTACTGTTATGCAGACTACTGCATTAGTGTAGAAATTGTATAAATAATATCAGCACACTTGTGAAAGAATATTAGACTCGCCAGTTGACGTGTATTGGACGCTTAGCATGATTTGTTTACTTATGAACTTTGGTAAAAATGGAACATTTCTGCTACTTTGAGCTCAATTTCAAGGTACTTTTCATTGTAAAAAAAGTCAAAATCATCTCAATTTCTGTAATATGTCTTCCATTCTGTAAAATGAGACCAGGAAAACTAGAATACAACAATAAATACCATATGAAAATACAGTGCAAAATCGCTGTTTTAATCCAGTAACATGGTCAAAGTTTTTTTTTTTTCTCATTATGCACTGTGTGCTGCAGGATTTTTTTATACTGTGCACACTGACCACATAGACCCATTCTTTCATATGTAGGCCTACCAGCTTTCTCTCACTAGATTTGAGGGTGCTAGAAATTAGGCGTACTAGTGCGTCAAAAACCCTGGTGCGTAAGCCGTACTAGTACATCCGAAACCCTGAAAGGGTTAAAAACAAATTTTAACCCACCCAGCATAACCCAGTACCCCAAGTTTTGTAGGTAATACTTCATTACTATTATGTTTGTGGGCTTCTGATAAGATACTTTTATTCAGTGATTGTGTGTGTGTATTTCCTTCTATGGTAACCATCCTTGGGTAGGAAGCAATTGATATGGTAAAGAACTGACACCTTGATGCTTCTCAAGTTTTGCTTTAAACTACCTGCAAATAACATGATATAGGTAGCCTTTTTTTGTTTTTGTCTTGGAAGATTATATTCATATGGAAGCACTTAACCCATAGATGTCATGCACAAATATCCCACATGTAGCAGAAAGAAACTTACGATGAGGTTTAAGTGTGTGACTAGTTAATGGTCCAAGTCAGACCAAAATGTTGTCATAAGTTTCTTTCTCCTGTGTGCACGTTATTTGTGTATTGTTCCAGTCACGGTATTGTGGTTCAACGTTCTCCACGAGTGCCATATAGCAAGCTTGGAAGGTTCCAGGAATGCATCTTACTTTTTCTGTAGGTTATTAGGCATAATTCATGGTAGGACTAGGAGCTCTCCACTACATTAATGAGTGTATACTGTATGCTTTTTGTAACTATGAGTTACTCATTTTTTGAAGAACACCTTTATACTTGGAAAAAAGACTATATTCCTGGTAGTGGAAACATACTCTTTAATAACCTTTACAAATTTTGTACTGATATGGGTAATAAAAACTTGTATTAATATTTTTTGTAATACATGTACATGTCAGTCGTTAGTGGAATCAAACTCAGGCATTTATCTTTAGAAGTATGTAGTATTATACTGCTTTTATTAATACAGTGGGACTCCAGTTTTCGTACTTAATCCGTTCCAGAAGGTCGGTCTAATACCGAAACATACGGAAACCGAATTAATATTTCCCATAAGAAATAATGTATAAATACAATTAATCTGTTCCAAACACCCAAAAATATTAACAAAAAACACATTTTTTAAAGAATAACTGTAGTTTTACATACAGAAAACAATGAGAAATAAATATAAATGAGTAATTTTAATGATAAATGAACATTACATACCTTTATTGAAGACTCTTGTTGGCGTATTGAAGAAGACGAGGAGGGAAGAGGGAGTTGAGGTTGTTTAGAAGGGAAATCCCCCTCCATAAGGACTTCAGATATCAAAGTCCTCTCTGGGGTTACTTCCCTTCTTTGTTTTTTACTGGCACTGGACCCTTGTCACACTAAAAGTCTGTCCAGAGAGCTCTGTTTATGGCATCTCTTGAAGATTTGCCTAAAATGGGACAAGGTATTGTCACTGAACATGTTGCAGATACGGCTTGTATCAGCTTTGTCAGGGTGCTATTTTTCAGCAAGAGTTTGCAACTCATTCCACTTTGCATGCATGTCCTTAATCACTGAGGAAGGCACCTTTTACCCTCTTTCTTCCTCTCCTCTGAAGCAATTTCCTCATCTGTGGTCTGTTGCTGTTCCAGATGAAGGTCTTGCAGCTCTTCAGTAGTTAGCTCTTCCCTGTGGTCCTCCACCAACTCTTCCACATCCTGGCCACTCACATCCAACTCTATGGACTTCCCCAAAGACACAGTAGATTCCACAACAGGATTAGGGTCAACAGGGTCAGCCTCAAACCCTTCAAATTCGCCACTTTTGTATTTTTCTACAATCACCACTTTCATATTTTTCTACTATCTCTTTCTTGAATTCTATTGTGTTTCTCACCTTCTTTACCAAAGGGCTGGCACTAAGAACTTTCTTTGGGCCCATGGTGGCTTATTTCCCAGTCACAATCAATAAACGAGCAAAAAATTGCAAAAATGTTCCGGATGAATGCTCACTCAACCAGTGACAAAGCCAGACTGATGGCATTCCCAGGCGGGTGGATGCGTATGATATGTACGATTTCCAGATTGAGGTACGAATCCAGACCAAAATTTCACCCTAAAAGGTGTTCTAAATCTGAATTGTACGATATGCGGATTGTACGAAAACCAGAGTTCCACTGTATCTCCAAATTTGTATTTATCTTCAGTTTGCACTATCATTAGCAGTAAAAATCTTGAATGAAAAATATAAATACAGTAATATGCAATTAGCAGTTAAATTGATAATGTGGCATAACAAAGTTAATACCCAGCCTGTCTCATTAGGTAGTAACCTAGGAACCCACAGGAAGTTTCATTTGAAGCCAGGGGGGCAAATACTAGAAAATCTCCCAGTTTTGAAGTAATCATCAGATTTGTTAGAATTCTAAAAGGAATATGGTAAGCAAATTATATTATTGATCATTTTTTCCTTAATAATACTATTAGTCATATTTTTCAGTTGGAGTGGCATAAAAGAAATTGTGTAATGGCAGTGATTTGTAAAAAGAGTAATTAGAATATTATAGTAACAGGAATAGATTCATTACTAAATGAAACCATAGGTGAGGATATAAGGACTCAACAGCTATGTTTAAAATAGTATAATGTTTTGTGTGGTCGTCTGATCTTCCTTTGTCTGTTCATTATATTAATGCATTGTAGTATCTTTATTATTAAGTTTTATGCATTAAGTCTAGTTAACATCCTTTTAATACTGAATTATCATATAGTATGGTATCTGAAGTGTGATTTTTTTTCCTTTTAATTTATGTTATCTATACATTATCCTTTAATTCAAATGACTTGTACATCAGAGTAATTTGTGCTAATAAGAATCAATTGTTGTAACTGTATGCTGAGGAAAGCAGACACAATAGTTTTCCACTTTTACTCTGCCCAGATCCACACTTTTGGATCCAGCGACCTGGGACCAAGAAAGCAGACCAACAGAAAGGTTAAAGGCTTCCTCTATTGGTGATATGATCAGCAGTCATGAGCATTATAATTGTTGTGAATATTTCCTATATTTTTTTTACTAAAGTTTGTGTGCAAAGGGAATCTGCATCACTTATTTTTTTATGTAGTTCTGGGCACAAGGTGCAGACTGATGTCCCATGACCATTAACAATTGATGGACAAAATACAGAATGTTATTGCAGTGTTATTGTTTTTGTTATAAAGTTGTTTGGCATATTGAATGCACGTTATTGATTCACTTAACCAAAAGATTTGTAATTGTGTTTGTTGCATTTGCTTGTAAATTTATAGTTACTGGTATATTGATTAATGGTAAAGTAACTGTTCAGTCAGATTTTTATAGCTATACTGTGTACAGTGCCTGCATTCTAAACGAAGGTTTGGGTTATTTGCTGTTTGGAGGGAAATCTGAACTGTTGTGTCTGCATGCTTCTGACAAGACAGTGAAAGTGTGAATGATGGTGAGATTTTTTTTTTTTTGTCACCCTACCTCGGTGGGAGATTAGGCCTCCCTCACCCCCCACACACATATACAGTACAGCATATACTCTTGTGATTTTGGGATGTAGCCTTGATAGATCCTTCTCACCCTTTGTGGCATAAAAGAGCAATAATATTCTTAGTCAAGACTCGGTTTGCTGTGGATATAAGCAGAGTGAGATATCCATCTTCCTACTACTGTACAGGTAGTATTAATTTGATAAGGTAATGGAATGTAACCAAGATAGATAATGATTGCAAACACTGACTGTTAGGTACACTTTGAAAGTGGCAAAGTTGAAAGGTAGTGGCTAACTTGAAGTAGGATAAGGGAAGGGGAAGGATTGGCTTCTGGAATTGATATATACAAGAAAAAAAATATTGATCTTTTGGTAAAGTACTGGTATAAGTAGTCTTGATACTGGAATTATATTCTTTCCTCCAAAATATAAGCTGAAAAATATAAGATAAAATCAAAAGAATTAATAATAAATATAAATGAAGTTAGTTGCAATAAATATACAATAGTGTTAATATTTGTACTGAATATTACATTGATAATGAACATGAGTACAATATAAGGGCTCCAGGAGAACTTATGTCAAAATCAAAACTTTATTTCTTTGCTAAGGTTACAATATATGTTTACACTTCATAATTTGATTGGTACAAAGAAAACCACTATAATGCCGAGGCATTTCAGGCAGACTTAACCTAATACTTAAAGATTACTTAAGTCTAGACAGGTGAAGATTGGTAGATTACAAATATTCAGTATTTTACTCTATTAATATGAGGTAGTACAATTAATGATACAAACATACATTTTTAAGTTTGTCATAATGGCTTAATAGTTAAGGGATAATAAAATAATTGGGAGAGTTGCTCTAAATTTGGTTAGTTTAGGATAGTGTGGGTATGGTTGCTATTGAGAGATGAGATGATTTTTGAGTATAGTTCTAAATTGATTTGTGGGCAGGAGACCTTTTGCTGTTTCAGGCAAAGAGTTCCAGACCTTCGGGCCCTTTTGTGAAGCAGGTGTGAACTCTTATTGTCAACTATACCTAGCATCTCTGCAATTTCTCAAAAGGATGATGTGCTGATCATAATTTATTGTGGAATAAATTTTGATCTTGTCATCAACTATATATTAATGGTCATCTGTCTTTCTTTATCAGCTGATATTTCTCCATCTGTGAATTGCTTGAACCAGTTTAAATGTTTTGAATGACTCTTGGCATCATATATATGTACTAATTTGATCATTTCACGAGTTTCAAAATTTTCCTGTACATATTTATCCATACTGTACTACACATAGTGTGTTTTATGGACAGTTAAACTGTGCAGAAGTTGAAATAATGCACTGTTAGGGCAGTTTGTTTGGTTGTGAGGACCTTCTGATATGGCTTTTTGTGTAAATCCCTTGTCTACACGTTCCTGTTTCAGTAGATACATTTTGAGATTTTTTTTAATTCCCCTATTTAACCATTGTGAAATTTTTATTCACATTGGTATATTTACAGGATGATATAGGCTAATTTAAACTCTACCATTTTACATTATACTGTATATTTAATAAATGTGTTTAGTTTATCAGTTAACTTTATCTTTGACTTCATCTTTTTAAAATAAACACATAAATTAATTCTCTGTGAAATGTATCACAGGAGTTACAAAGTGGCACTAGTTTATCTTGTGGCATTGCTTTTAACTGGGCTTTAAGACTGAGGGTTCATTTGCCTTAGGTTAAACCATTTTTAGCCTAATGCGAGTCTTGATTATAATCGTATTGAAAGGCTCAAATCGGCTGATCATATTGCCATTCTGTTTTTTGTGGTTTGCAATTAATTCATTTAACATAATAGAAATAATGAGAGCACAAGTTGCAGTGAAAGCATTAAAAATACACAGTTATCTCTTATAGCCCACCTGTAACATCACACTTGCAATATTTTGCTTGTACTGTGTGTGTTTGTAAAAAGTATCCAGATACCTTATTTAAAACCTGTGAATATAAGTTGTAGCAGTACTTTGCTTGCTTCACCCTGCAGCCCACAACGGCCAGCTACCAACACTGCTAAGGTGGAAACTGAGGAGACTAGTAGTCCTAAGACCACCAAGGTTAGTTCTAGTTATTTAGTGTATGATTTATTAAGCTTCACAGATAAGATGTTGCAGTTTTATTTCCCAAGATGTCTTGCTTACAATAGCAAGTTAACATTCAGTAGTCAATCATGCAAGGAAAACCCTCTAGTTATGTGTAGCATTTCAGGCAATCTAAAGATTGTACTAAGGCTAACAGTATGAAAATGTAAAATACTATTGGACATTGCATTAAAATGTAGGGCATGTTAAAGTATAAGATTATATAATTCTGTATTGTAATAAAATTTTTAGTTAAAATTTAGTATTTAGTGTAAGGCATGTTATAATAAAATTTGACTTAGTGATTTACAAGGAAAATAAGGAGGTAATGATAGATGATGATTTGATTAAATAAAAAAAAAAACACATACAGTGGACCCCCGGTTAACGATATTTTTTCACTCCAGAAGTATGTTCAGGTGCCAGTACTGACCGAATTTGTTCCCATAAGAAATATTGTGAAGTAGATTAGTCCATTTCAGACCCCCAAACATACACGTACAAACGCACTTACATAAATACACTTACATAATTGCTCGCATTCGGAGGTAATCGTTATGCGGGGGTCCACTGTACTGTACTGGGAACTTAAGCCGTTGAAATAGAAATTGTTTCAGGGTAATACGTGAAACATTTTTTTTTTTATAATTTTTACTGTGCTTGATTATTGTAGGACTGGGTCATGGCAAGATGTTTACTTATAGGAAAGTTGCAAAATACTGCACTGTACTTCCTTATGGTACAGTACATTAAAATGTTGCAGATCAGTGAATGCTTTATTAACATCTCCTCTTCAAGGGGGGCTCCTTGTTGTGGTGAAGAGGCTCTTGGTCTGAGGAATCAGACCTGTCGGTCTCCTTCCTCAGACCGAACCTAATTACCCCCCAATCCCCCCCTCCCTATCCCATCCTCCCCTTTTTCCTTTCCTCCTCCTCCTCCTCCTCCTCCTCCCCACCCCTCCCTTTTGCCCTTCCTCTTTTTGGCCTTTGGGATTTCTCCCACAGGCAGGCTAGTTCCTAGGTAGGGGAAAGGATACCGGGGTCCATCCCATTCCGTTGAGGTTCTTGGCGGTGGCATAGTTTGCCGTGGAATCTGGATCGCCTGAGGATGTCCCAATCCCTCTCCGGTATCCTGGAGTAGCTTTGGGTGTCTTTCGGGCGACGGGTGTATCTCTGGAAGCCACCTTTTGGATTCCGGGGGTGGTGGTCGAAGGAGGTATGCTTTGTGGCGGATATCCGGCCGCCCTCTCTTTTGTCCACCGAGGTAGCTCGGCAGATGTGAGGTTGCTATCCCGGATTGCAGGTTTACTGGCATGAAGGGTAGGGTATGGCACGTGTTCCATGCTGCATCTGCTCTACTAGCAGTGCTGAGGTCCTCTTGGGCGAGGAGGGAGATTTCCAGCCCTTTCATTCCTCCTGGGAACTATTCCTCCCCGCTCCCCCCTTTTTTTATTCTTTTTTTTATTTTTATTTTCTTTTCTTCTTTCTTTTTTTTTTCTTAAAAACAAAAAGCAAAGGAGTAACCTAACCATGGAGAACCCAATCCATGAACCCACTACCCCTGGGCCCTTTCTTGATACCGCACCCCATTCTGACCCTGCCTTGTTTTTTGACCACTCTTCGGACACTCCTGATGCCCCTGTACCTCTTGCTGGTGCTGTTTCCTCACCTGCTTCAGGTACCGGGGCCTCGACTGACTCCTTCGATTTGTCTGACCTCCGCTCTCCTTTGACTATGCTTCCGGGCTCTCCCTCTACGGTACGGCAATTTTCGAATCGCCAGCTCATTTCACACCGGACCAACTCCGGTCCTACTCCTAAACGCCAAAGTCAATCTCCTGATGATGCTCCTTCGTTACCTTCCCATTCTACTCGGAAAAGACCGACACGTCATGCACTCCCTCTCCACGGTCAGTTTCGGACCACACAATGGACTAAATTCTTTACTTTAAGACCAACTTCTTCTGCCTATCTTTCTGACCATAGTATTGGCAAAGCGCTCCTGTGTCATGTTGGCAGAGATATTTCATTTCATGCTCTCAAGAGCAGTACGCGCATCGTCACTGGCCAGGATGCTACCCAAGCTCATGATCTTTCTCTCCTTTCGAATATCGATACTACTCCTATCACTATTGAAAAACATCTTTCTCTCAATTCTTGTAGTGGTACTGTCATTCTGCCCCATACCATAGTCCAACAGAATTTCCAGTCATGTGGCAATAACATTCTTGAACAGCTGGAACTCCAGGATCTCCCAATCCTCAAAGTAGAAACTTATGTCCTTCCTGCCCGTGGGTGGAGACGTTACCCTTGCAATGTGGCTCGTTTAACTTTTGACAGCTGATAACTCCCGTCCTCTGTATATGTCGCGGGACATCGGTTACAAGTTTGAAAGGTGATACCTACACCGCAACAGTGTAGAAATTGCTGGCGTTTTGGTCACCCAGCGAAATATTGCAGATCTATAGCCGAATGCCCAGTCTGGTGTGCCGACGACCATTGTAATGCATCTTGCAGTCAGCCTCCATCTTGCCTTAATTGTAATGAAGCTCACCCTTCGTACTCCCGCCGTTGCCAGGTCTACTTAAATGAACGTGAAATCCGTTGCCTCAAAGAGGCAGAAGGTCTCCCTTATGCTATGGAAGTTACTCATCTCCGCCTCCAAGGGAGACTACCCCGTGTTTCTTATTCTCATGTTTCAAAACATCCTCCCACTTCTGGGGTCCCATCTTCTGCAGCCTCCTCTGTTGTTACCCCTCCCATAGCCACTCCGACATCTAATCCTGTTGCTGTCCTTGGCTCTGACGTCCCGACTACAACTCAGTCTGTTCGCACATCTTCGCGTCCTTCCTCACAAGCCCCAGTATCGACAAGACCTCGTACAACACCTTATACCAATCGCCCCTCTGCTTCTCAGAAGTCCAAAAAATCCACATTGCTCAAATCTTCTTTGCCCCTTCCTTCCCTTCTTCCACCTCCACACTTTACCTTTCCAGTCTCTGCCTAGTTCTTCCCCTCTCTCTGTCTCTATTACAAGTGTGGAGATTCACCCTCCTCCTCGTACTATGCCTTCCACCCCCGTCCCCTCCAAGTTTCTCCCTCTTCTCCCACCTCCAGGGTTTTTTGCTTTTTTCGTCCCCCCCCAAACACTTCATCTCCAGTCCCTTACACTCTTTCGTCCCCTCTACTTTGGGAAAAGTCCATTACTGTCCCAATCTTTTCTCACCCTCCCCCTTCTACCCCCAATATGGTCTCCCCCTACATCTTTGAATTCAGAAACACTTGAAGCCATTTCAGAATATATTGCAGAGACTAAACCTTCAATGGACACTGATTCACTTCCTGTTCCTTCTCTTCTCTCTCCTCTCTCCTCCATCTTCACAACCCCATTCTTCGCAACGCTCCGTTCCTTCTCTGCTTGAACGTCTTCCAATGCCACCACACGTTGACTTTTCTAACCCCTCTAGTCCGTAGGTGCCTTTCTCTATGGATTCCTGGTATTTTCTTCATCGCCAATCATGGCCTATTTACAGTGGAATATCCGCAGCCTCAGGGGTAATTGGGGTGAGCTTCAGATGTTGCTTTCCAGGTTTTCCCCTGTTGGTGCTTGCTTACAAGAACCAAAATTACACTCAGCTGTTTTCCAACCTATCTCGGGCTATAATTTATTGTATTCAGATCCTTTCTCAGATGGGACCTTTAATGAAAGTGCCCTTCTTCTACGCAATGATGTTCCGTACTGTCAACTATTTGTCCATACCTCGCTGCATTACTCTGCAGCCCGTATCCACTTGAATAAGTGGTTTACAATATGTTCTTTATATCTCTCTCCTCGAGCATTTTCTATCCCAGACTTTGCCTTTTTTGTTTCATCCTTACCACCACCACTTCTGTTACTTGGTGATTTTAATGCCCACCATTTCCTCTGGGGGGGGGGTCTCATTGTGACTCACGTGGCATCCAGTTGGAGGCTTTTCTCTCTTCTCACCCCCTCCATGTTTTAAATACGGGTACTCCCACCCATTTTGATCCTCGTACTCATACTCTCTCTTGCATCAGTCTATCAGTCTGCTCTTCCTCCACTGCACTAGACTTCACCTGGTCTGTTCTACCGGACTTAAATGACAGCGATCATTTTCCAATCATTCTTACTTCTCCTTCATATTCACCACCTTTCCGTAGCCCTCGCTGGCAATTTGATTGGGCAAATTGGGACCTTTACTCGCAGCTCTCTGCTTTTAGTGAGGTTCCTTCTTCATCCTCCATTGATGAGCTCCTACACCTCTTCTCGACGTCAGTTTATACCTCAGCTTCTCATTCTATACCCCAAACCTCAGGCAAGCATTCTCAGAAGTGCGTGCCTTGGTGGTCACCTGCTTGTGCTCGTGTAGTACGTTTGAAACACGCTGCATGGGGCAGGTACTGATACAATAGAGCCAATGAGAAACTTCTTGATTTTAAGCAGAAGCGTGCAATCGCTCGCCGTGTCATCTGTGATGCTAAACTCACTTGCTGGAGAGACTATGTTTCCACCATCACCTCTGCTTCCTCTATGAGCGCAGTCTGGAAAAAAGTGAGGAAATTGAGTGGTAAATACTCTCCTGACCCGGCTCCTGTTCTACGGGTCGCCGGTATTGATGTAGCAAACCCTCTTGACGTTGCCATTGAAATTGGCACTCATCTGGTCTGTATTTCCCGGGGGCTCCATCTATGCCCCTCGTTTCTTTCCTCAAAGTCTGCCAGAGAGTTAGTACCCTTGGACTTTTCTTCTCTCAGAGAAGAACAGTATAATGTGCCTTTTACACTTCAGGAACTGGAGGCAACACTCTCAGCTTGCAGATCATCGGCAACTGGACCTGACGACATTCATATTCATATGTTACAACATTTACATCAGTCAGCCCTTGTAGTCCTCTTACACCTCTTCAATCTTATTTGGGCACAAGGAGTTCTTCCCCAGCTGTGGAAATCTGCCATTGTTCTCCCTTTCCGCAAGCCAGGTACTACAGGACATGATGCCTCCCACTATCGTCCCATCGCTCTTACTAGTGCAGTTTGCAAAGTGATGGAACATCTGGTAAATCGCCGTTTAATGTGGTATTTAGAGACACACAACAGTCTCTCCGCTAGTCAATATGGCTTTCGTATGGGCCGTTCTACCATAGACCCCTTACTACGCTTGGATACGTATGTTCGTAATGCCTTTGCAAATAATCACTCAGTTATTGCCATATTTTTTGACCTTGAGAAGGCATATGACACAACTTGGAGGTATAATATTTTGGCCCAAGTGCACTCCTTAGGCCTCTGAGGCAATCTACCATCCTTCCTCAAGAACTTTTTAACTGACAGACACTTCCGTGTTCGAGTCAATGTGCTTTCCCCGGACTTTGTCCAAGCTGAAGGTGTCCCTCAGGGATGTGTTCTGAGCACAACACTTTTTCTCCTTGCTATAAATGATTTGGCCTCTGTTCTTCCACCCAATATTTGGTCATCACTCTATGTTGATGACTTCGCTATTGCTTGTGCAGGCGCTGACTGTCATCTCATTGCAGTTTCTCTCCAGCATGCGGTCGACCGTGTTTCCACTTGGGCCACCAACGCATGGGTTTAAATTTTCCAGTACCAAAACTCACCAAATTACTTTCACTAGACGTCTGTCATCTCCGATCATCCTTTGTATCTCTATGGCTCTCATATCCCCGAACGTGATAGTCAGGTTTCTAGGCCTTCTCTTTGACCATAGGTTATCCTGGAAACCTAACATTACCTCTCTGAAGGTAACTTGTCACAGCCGGCTAAACCTTCCTAAAACCCTTGCTCATCTTTCCTGGGGAGCTGACCGCCGAACTCTGCTTCGCCTACATTCAGCCCTCGTTTTATCGAAACTCGATTATGGTGACCAGATTTATTCAGCGGCCTCTCCTGCTACTCTCTCTAGCCTTAACCCCATCCATCACCAAGGATTACATTTATGCCTTTGTGCTTTTCGCTCTTGCCCTTTGAGAGCCTCTATGCAGAAGCGAATGTTCCATCCTTGTCTGATCGCCGTGATGCCCATTGCCTTCGCTACTATGTACGCTCTCACGATCTCCACAATCCTTCCATTTATAGAATGGTCACCGATATTAGTAGACATTCTTTATTTGTTCGCCGCCCCTGTTTGCTCCGTCCCTTATCTCTTCGCCTACATTCGCTCTTGTCTTCCCTTCAGTTACCACCTTTATATGTTTATGTAGCATCTCACTTTTCTCTACCCCCCTGGGAAGTTCCAGCTGTTCGGGTCTGTTCTTTCTCACTGCCTTGCTCGAAAGCCCAACTGCCTACGGTGGCTTCCCGCTCTCTTTTTCTTGATCACTTCCACTCTTTCTCATGCCATCGCTGTGTACACAGATGGCTCTAAGTCTTCAGACGGTGTCGGATTCGCAGCAGTGTTTCCGGACAGCATCGTGCGAGGGCATTTACTAACTTTGGCTAGCATTTTTACTGCTGAATTGTATGCCATTCTTGCAGCACTTATTCGTATCGCATCTATGCCTGTGTCATCATTTGTGGTAGTCTCAGACTCCCTTAGTGCTCTACAGGCTGTACGAAAATTTGATACATCTCACCCCTAGTTCTCCGTATCCAACTTTGGCTATGCTGTATCTCTACCAAGCATAAAGATATTGTTTTTAGTTGGGTCCCTGGTCATGTCAACGTACAGGGCAATGAACTGGCAGACACTGCTGCGCGGTCAGCAGTACATGACCTACCAATTTCCTATAGAGGTGTTTCATTTCTGGACTATTTTGCTGCAATAGCTGCCCACCTTCACACCCGTTGGCAACAACGTTGGTCAACTCTGCTCGGTAACAAACTTCATTCTATTAAACCGAGCATAGGTTAGTGGCCGTCTTCTTGTCATCAGTGCCGTGGTTGGGAGACCACTCTCTCCCGCCTTCGCATTGGCCACTCTCGTCTTACTCATGGGTATCTCATGGAGAGAGACCCTGTTCCTCTCTGTGAGCAGTGTCAAGTTCCAGTATCGATTAGCCATATTCTGTTAAACTGCCCTCTCTATCAACGAGCACGCAGAATTTACCTCCAACGTCGTCTTCATTCTACTACTCTCTCTTTACCTTCCCTTCTTGCTGATGGACCCTCCTTTAATCCTGACTCTCTCATTGACTTCTTGACAACGACTGATTTACTCCACAAACTCTGATGATACCTTTCGCACTCCCCTCAGCCCTTTCTAGTTCAGTCTCTTGCTGCCCTTTACCCTTTCACCATCCAATGCCCCGCTGTTATCTGTAACCTATTACTCATCCATCTCCCTTTTGCCACCTGATGCCCTCGCTTCCTTCCTGCTCTGAAGCGCTGTATAGCCCTTGTGGCTTAGCACTTCTTTTTGATTATAATAATAATTTATTAACATCTAATGGACTTACTGTACCAAATTTTTCTTTCTATAGCATTCTCCGATTGATATCTCTTCACTACAGTAACACATCGCTACACGACATTACTGAGCAGACGTGTTATCATTCAAGTGTGTTACTTATCACTTTGCTTTGTATTCTATTTACACTGCAGTACTTTCAAACACTACATGTTGTAAACAGTTTCCTTAGGAAGTCTTCATCAGTTTTATTTCATTTCTGTTTTATATTCATTTAACCACTGTACTTTTATAGGCTTGTATTTTCCTGTAAAGACATTTTTTCATAAAATCCTCTTTCTGATTTCCATGTTAATCTATATCTTTTATACAGTGCCTGTAAAAAATAATCCAGACCTCTCCTTTATTAGTACAAAAACTTAAAAAAATGATATAAACATTATAGAACAAAAACTGTAATACTTGGTACCTACATTAGTATTTTGTTGTCTCCCTTGGCCTTGATGACCATTTGAAGCTGTTGGGGCATACTTACATGCAGATTCCTGAAGTAGTCAGTGAATAAGTAGTTGACCTAAATGTCCTTGATCTCTTGATGCAGACATGACATGGATGAAATGTGGCAGCATTCCATCTTCTTTTTCATGATAGTCCAGGTATTCTAAATAGGATTGAGGTCTGGACTATTCCTGGCTATTGTAAAACCTCTGTTTTTCTCAGCAAGCCATTTGCTTACCTTATTTACCTTGTGATGGGGGCTATCATTCATAAAGGTGATGCAGCTGTGAATTTCAAAAATATTCAGCAGGTGGTCCTCAAGAAGTGATGTAGCAGTCAGCATTTATTGTAACATTTCAAGTAAATCACAAAAGCAACTCCAGACCATGATGGATTGTGGGTGCTTTACTTATGGGCCTCTGGGAAGCTCAGGGCAATGAAGCAGACTCAGCTGCATGATGCGCTATTCACGGCCTGCCAATTTCCCACAGGGGGATACCTTTCTTAGACCATTTTTTGGTACTCTCAACTGCTCTATAGTTGGTGGCAACAGTGTTGGTTGGAGTTAGAGCACAACAAATTATTTTCCATCATCACACTTGTTTTTAGAGCCATTTTTCCATCCCTGTCAGGTATGGGGGAACTATGCTTGCACAATTACAAACCAGAAACACATGGATATCACATAGAGAGATGCCCACCTTGCAGTGAACCCTGCCAAACTGAGCTATTGTTTCACCATATCTTAATAGACTGTTCTGTCTGTCAGCACCCAGAATTCACTTCTGACATCTGCAGTGTACTAACATGCTTGCTAACTGAGCCACCCCCTCACTTAAAGTCCCACCTTTCGAGCAGGCTTTTTAATTTTTTAAACAGAAAGTAACTTGTGTGCCAACCACCTGATGTTAATTGTATACCTACCAACACTACTAACCTTCACCCTTACACATCACACTACAGTGCTGCATCACCCATATGAGTTTAGCGCTTGTTTTAATATATTTAAAACAATATAATAATAAAAGTAAATCCTTGCATAGCCTGCTACAAAGCACAATATACGGTACTTTTTTGGGGAGAAAAATTTCATGATTCCTAAGATTTTCTTTTTTCTTTTGTGTAGACACCTGGTAAGAAGAGTGAAGAGGAGCTGCAGGAGGAGGAGGAACTGCAGCTGGCTATTGCACTCTCCCGCTCAGAGGCTGAGAACAAGGAAAAGGAGGTAAGAGGATTTAAAATGTACAAATATCTGTAAAGATTATTATTATCAAAAGGAAGTGCTAAATCTGTAAAGATAAAACTTAATTTTATTCAGTAATACGTATTCCTGGAACAGAACAGTCAGATTATGTTGTCAAAAATACAACATGGCTGTAATTGTTGAGGCAGTGTGTATCAGGTTATGCTTGTATATATAGTTTTTAATTTGAAATAAAATTAACAATTTTAATATTGCATTTTGTGCTTTCTGGTGATATTACATAATTCAAGGCTTTTCAATAGTCAGCTGTAAGTATTATATTTGGGTGAGAACTTTGGGTAGCTTTAAATATAGGCTGGATAGGTTATATATAAGTAGGTGTGGGTGGGTGCAGTAGGTCTACTTCAGAGTGCAGTTATCCTTTGAAGTTATGTCCTCCCCACTCTCCTTTTCCTCCTTCCCCCCTCCTTATCTTGCTGCTGCTTCTCCTGCTGCTCATTATCCTCTTCCTCCTCCTGCTGTTGCTGCTGCTCCTGCTGCTGGTGTTGCTGCTGCTCCTTCTGCTGCTGTTGCTGCTGCTCCTTCTCCTTCTTCTCCTCCTCCTCCTACTGCTGCTGCTCCTTCTCCTTCTTCTCCTCCTCCTCCTACTGCTGCTGCTCCTTCTCCTTCTTCTCCTCCTCCTCCTACTGCTGCTGCTCTGCATCTCTTCCTCCACAGCTTGTTTTGTTTGTATAAGTGGATGCACACGTACGTATGAGGTGCCAGGAATGTATGTACATGTACGTATGAGGGTCCGGTAGTGTACATACATGTATGTATAAGGGTCCAGGAGTGTACGTGTGTGTACGTATGAGAAAGAGAGAGGGGCCAGAAGTGTACATATGTGTATGTATGGGCCAATAGGCCTGTTGCAGTGGGTATGGGCCATTAAGCCTGTTGCAGTGTTCCTCCTTTCTCATGTTATGTTCTTTTGTATGTGTATGTATGAGAGGCCAGGAGTGTATGTATGGGGGATGAGGACTGTATGTATGGGAGACGAGGAGTGTATGTATGTGTATATATGAGGAGCCAGGAGTGTATGTATGTGTATATATGAGGAGCCAGGAGTGTATGTATGAGAGGCCAGGAGTGTATTAATGAGGGGCCAGGAGTGTACATATGTATATGTATGAGCAATACATAAAGGTGGCAACCCCACAGATGTAAACAACTATAAGCCAATGTCAAACTTACAATTGCTATCCAAACTCTTCGAGAAACACGTGCACAAAAGGTATGTATTCGTTTATAACAGCACAAAGCATACTCAACCTTGCCAATTTGGCTTCAGAAAAATAAAAGCACAATCAATGCAATTGTAAAAATGCTAGATCTGCTTTACACAGCGGTGGAAAATAAGGAATATCCATTAGGACTTTTTATTGACCTAAGAAAAGCTTTTGACACAGTAGACCATGACATCCTACTCCACAAACTTGACCATTATGGTATAAGAGGCCTATGCACTTGCATATTTCAAATCCTACCTTACTAATAGGTATCAGTATGTCACCATTAAAGACACAACCTCATCAACACGGCCACTTGATACTGGAGTACCACAGGCAAGTGTCCTTGGTCCCCTGCTCTTCCTCTTATACATCAGTGATCTTCCCAGCGTATCACAACATCTGACACGACTTATGTCATCTCCCACCCAAATCTTGCCACACTCGACACAATTGTTAATGAGGAGCTACAAAAAATATCTACTTGGATGACAGCCAATAAACTTACACTTAACACTGACAAAACCTTCTATATTGTTTGGTAACAGAGCAGGTGTTGCACAACTTAACATTAAGATCAATAGCACTCTTATTGCCAAACATATTGAGGGCAAATTCCTAGGCCTGCACTTCAACAGTAACCTGAATTTCAGCACCCATATCGAACACAGAACAAGGAAAAAAGTATCCAAAACGGTTGGGATCCTCTCTAAGATACGTTACTACGTGCCACAATCAGCCCTTCTCACACTATACTATTCACTCATCTATCCTTGCCTTACCTATGCTATTTGTGCTTGGGGATCAACTGCAGCAACACACCTAAAGCCAATAATAACCCAACAAAAAGCCGCAGTAAGAATAATCTCATCCAGTCCCAGGCAGCACTCCCCCCCCCCCACACACACAGACTGTTCAACTGCCTCCCAGCATACATAAGGGGGATTACCAACAGACCCCTGGCAGTCTTCAAGCTGGCACTGGACAAGCACCTAAAGTCGGTTCCTGACCAGCCGCGCTGTGGCTCGTACGTTGGTTTGTGTGCAGCCAGCAGCAACAGCCTGGTTGATCAGGCTCTGATCCACCAGGAGGCCTGGTCACAGACCGGGCTGCAGGGGCGTTGACCCCCGGAACTCTCTCCAGGTAAACTCCAGGTACTGTACAGAACATCCACACTTACTACTGTGCAACCTACATTTACAGAACCTTAAATTCCAATATTAACCCTGAACTATAACACATTCTTGATAGTTGTGACAGGACCCACAGGCATAACACCAGGCACAAAAATCGCTATAACATTCCCCGTGTCCGGCTAAACCTATACAAAAATTCAGTGTATGTAAAAGGACCTAAAATCTGGAACACCCTACCTGAAAACTCTAGAACTGCAGACACTATCATCACTTTCAAAACTACCGTTAGAAAGCATCTCCCTGACACACCCAACCGTCAGCTAACTATATGAAAACCACCTATTCTCTTGTATCATACACACACAAAAAACAACCTGGACCTCCCCTCGATGTCTGATTCCCCACAATTCACACTTACACTCACCCAATTGACTTTAAACATTGAAATACGTAATAAAACTATTACCTAATGAATCTAAAACTAGTCATAAGTTTGCCTGTGATACTTCAATATAGGAGCTTCAATAGAAACTATGTATCGAACCAAGACAAAACCATTCACATCGCTAAATTTACGAACTGTAATGCAGTTACTTAGACTTAATATCAACATGCTCCATAAACTGTACCAATACAGAGTATTGAATTCATCTTAGTCTGCCCGAAATGCCCAGTTATGCTAGGTGTGATAGTGGCCCTCTCTGTAATTAGTATTTTATAATATGTAAACCACACAATATCCTATAAAATGTAAACCCCGCATTGTAATCTTTATAGAGAATAAAACTTGATTGGTTGATGTGTGAGGGGCCAGGAGTGCATGTACGTGTACGTATGAGGGGCCAAGAGTGCATGTACGTGTGCGTATGAGGGTCTAGGTGTACGTATGTTTACGTGTGGGGGCCCTCAAATTCAAATTCAAATTCAAAGTTTATTCTCTATAAGGATTACAATGCTGGGTTTACAGAAATTTGGTTATTGTTTGGTTTACATGTAGTAAAATTGTGATTACAGAGTGTACCACTAGAACGCTTAGCATGGCTAGGCATTTCCGGCATACTTAGTTTTATTCTTAATTGTAAAATATTACAAATTATGAGGTAAGTTGGTATTATGGCTAAGTGACTAAATACTAGTTTATGAGTTTAGCAATGTGAATGCTTTTGTATTGGCACAGTATATAGTTTCAGTATTGGAGTATCACAGGATTCATTATTTTAAGACTGAGATTAATATTTCTGTTTATGGTCAAATGAGTGAGCGAGTGTAAGTGTGAACCACCAGGTGGTATTCGTGTAGTTAGTTGACGGGGTGTATCAGGAAGGTTCCTTGATGTTGGTGAGGGGAATTGGATCTGTGCTCCAGTTCCCCGAATTAAGCCTGAATACCTTCCACATCCCCCCCCCCCCAGGCGCTGTATAATCCTCCGGGTTTAGCGCTTCCCCCTTGATTATAATTATAATAATAATAATAATACGTGTGGGGGTCCAGGGATGTACATATGTTTCCGTATGAGGGGTCCAGGAGTGTATGTACGTATGTGTAAGAGGGGCCAGGAGTGTACGTATGTGTACATATGAAGGAGCAGGAGTGTACGTATGAGGGTCCAGGAGTGGACGCACATGTGACTCACTGTCAAGTGATAACCACAAGTTTGCCTGGTCTTATTTTAGCGATCAGCAGCCTCCACACTGCCACTGTCAGTCTAGCCGGTGGTCAGTGTGTGTGTGTGTGTGTCAGGTAACAATACAACATAACACAGCGTTTACAAACTTTTACTCTATAACGAGGAAAACACGTACGAAGTGTAATTATATTCCTGCCAAATGCATCCATGTGTGGAGACGTTGTTTACAGAGCTTGTGGGTCAGCTGGTGTCTTGACATCGTCTTTTAAGAAACCTCTAAGTAAACTTACACGCACGGGGAAGAAGACTGTGTTATTTTTAGATCATCTGTGCTTAGCTTGTATCTGTGGCAAAAGTTACGGTGTTAATATGAAGCCATATTTGCTGGTTGCTCGTCATAAGTGAGTGTGGGTAAAGTATTTTCTGTGATGGACTTTGTTGAATGTTAGTGTGTCAGGTGTGAAGGTAGCCCCTCTCTATTTCTCTCTTATTCCTTCACTAATGTGATTATTATAAACACTGATGATCAGTAACCTCAGTAAGTCAAAAATAAAAGTCACTTCGTCTGATTTGTTTGTTTGACTTTTTTTTGGTTATCCTGGGTAATGTACACTATAAGTAAGTTTATTTAGGTACAGGTATACCTAAATACAGTTACAGATTATCATACATAGCAGCATATGTGTAGATTACCTAGGATAACCCAAAAAAGTCAATGTGACTTATTTCCATTGGGGTCCTTCCGATAAGTATTATTTATATTGAAAAGTTAAAATGGGTAAGTAATTTAACTATGTGGAAAGTACTTATAATGAAAGGAGTTATACTATGGGTAAGGTAAAATCAGTTATTTAAATTAACATTAAAGATAGGATCAGATCACAGCACATGTATGTTAGATATACAAGAAATCACTCTCCTTCCTTTCTGTGGCCATATTCATTAGCTCTCTTCTTCAACTGGCTCATGCTGTGACACTTTGACATGTGCAGGTAATCTATGTACTTGTAATAAAGTTGGTAGAATTACTGACAATATGTAAAGTAAAAGGACACAAGTGCAACTAATGTGACATTTTATTGTGGCAACGTTTTGCTCTCCAGGAGCTTTATCAAGCCATAATGGCTTGATAAAGCTCCTGGAGAGTGAAACGTTGCCACAATAAAATGTCACATTAGTTGCACTTGTGTCCTTTTACTTTACAATCTATGTACTTGTGTGTACCTGTGCCTAAATAAACTTAGTGTGACTGTATTTTCACAGGGATCCCTGTAGGTAGTTTTTAAGTTTAAACTACAGTAAAGTAGTCAGGTGGCCCAGTGGCTAATGTGTTGGTCTGGAGTTTTACGACTTGTTAACTGCGAATTCAAGCCCCACCTATGGTATGGTATGCCTTTTGTATTTGACACCAGTTTGCTTCATCAGTCATAACTGCCAATGTTCTTTCATCAACATCTCCACCTTGCCTCCTTCCCTTCAGTCTCTCTCCCCTCCACCATACAGTGCTGTAAGACCCTTATGGGTTTAGTACTTTCCATGAATATAGCAAAAATGCATAGCCATAATTGTTAGTTTAGCTGAGCTGGCCACAGGATGCAAAACATATTGGGATCACTTGCAGCTACACCAAGATGGTTAAATTTAAATTAGTTACCAGGCACAGCACTTATGAAATAGTATTCAATGGTATTACAGTACAGTATAACTAATTTGTATTCAGAAATTAATAGTTTTGCATATACTTTAGTGATAACCAGTACGTATACTGAAGTGACTAATGACTTAACCTAGGATATCCCTATAAATCATTAAAAGGATTCATATCCACTGGGGCTTTATTTAGACATACTGAATATGTAAGTCAGTAATTTATAATAATTTTCCTTGTATTATTCCTGACATAATAGATATAAATAAAATTAGTGACAAATATTAATTTTAAGGTGATTTGTTTGTTTATTCAGGTCAGCATCATAAAATGTTTACAATGTGGTACAATACATTAAGTACACTAATCTGTATTATTTGTATCATTATTGTGTACTTATTATACTGTAAATATACAAGTGTCATTATGTCAACTTTATCTGGAATGTTACTACAATTTTTTAATTAAAAGGATTTTTTTCATTCGGGTACCTTTGATGTGTATCTCATTTATATGTAATATTTGTGCAGTGCTGTATATCAGTCTTAACATACATAGGTGTTATTCTTCAAAGGCAGTTTAAAACTGTTATAAAACAAATAGGAATACTGAATGTCTCTTAATTGCTTTTGAAAGAAATGTAATAGAGTACTGCCTGAAGATTATGAAATTTGAGTTCTACAGTACCAGGAGGTGCTGTATTATTAAAAATTTAATTTAACCATTGTGCTTGCTTACATGCAGTACAGTGTATATATTTTTTAGATCTGGCCAATAAGTACATTATACAGTGGTACCTCGGAATACGAACAGCTCCCAACTCGAACAATTATGTAAGTGTATTTTTGTAATTGTATTTTTGGAAGTCTGAAATGGATTACTCTAATTTACATTATTCCTTATGGGAACAAATTCGTTTGGTATCAGCATTTGAACAGCCTTCTGGAATCAATCAATTTCGTATCCCGAGGTACCACTGTATAAAGTATGTGGAAAACTATGTGGACAGTCTTGCCTGGTATATTGTATCCATAATTTTTTATTTGACAGGTCATATATCATATTTTGTAAATTCAACAATATGATTTTATTAACCTTTTGACTGTCGCAACTCCAAATCCTGAAGTGTCTCCTGGTGTTGCAAAATTTTTGGGAAAAAAAAAAGCTTTTTCTCATGAAATGATAGAGAATCTTTTCCCGATGATAATGACATCAAAAGTACGAAATTTGATGGAAAACTTACAGAATTACGCTCTCGCGAAGTTAGCGACCTTGGTGACATTTACACCGGCGATTTTACTCACTTTGAGTCCTATTTTCGGCCAATTCTATTGTTCCAGTCCACCAAATTCATAGCTATTTCTTTAGAACTCCATTTGTTCTATCGATTGACTACAAGAAACTGCCCATTTACCGATTTCAGCTACCCAATAAAGTGGTCAGAAATTGGCAATTTGGCCAATTTCATGCAAACTAAAAAATGTCAATTTCAAAATAGGGTCCAGGATGAACAGTGCAGACATTCCTGGCACTAAAGTAACATTTTCTCTGTTCATCAGTCATGTCTCCAGGTGCCTGTTATAATACTCTTGCTTTCTATTTTGAATTTTTATTCACACAAAAAATAGAAGATTTACTGTTATGCAGACTACTGCAATATTGTAATAATTGTATAAATAACATCAACCCATTCGTGACTGCCTATTAGAATGGCTAGTTGGACATTTATTGGACAATGACGTCATTTGTTTACTCTTGAACATCGGCAAAAATCGAACATTTCTGCCACTTTGAGCTCCATTTCAAGATCCTTTTCATAGTAAAACCAGTCAAAACCACTTCTATTTCTATATGTTTTCCATTCTATCAAATGAGACCAAGAAAACAAGAATACAACCAGTAAACACCATATGAAAATACACTTCAAATTTGGCGTTTTAATCCAAAAATATGGCCGGAATTTTTTTTTCTCGTTATGCACTGCGTGCTGCAGGAATTTTTTTATACTGTGCACACTGACCACACAGACCCATTCTCTCACATGTGGGCCTACCAGCTTTCTCCTGCTTGATTTGAAGCCGCTAGAATTTTTGAGTATGTATACGTATATCAAACACATTGACTTGTAAGATGTATATATATGACCAAAACAGTCAAAGGGTTCATACAAGTATGATTTTGCAGAAACTTCGTGCAACTTCTAGTTTGTTGGGTGGTAATTGGCGGCAGCCTTCACCTGCACCAGCTTCCCCAGCTCCGCAAAATTCACAGGACAAGGAAGATATGGATCCTGAACTGGCTCGGTTAGTTTTCACCATTTTTTGTTCATTTTTGCAAATTATTTAACAAAATATTTAGAGAGATCCTGTCAGGTACGGTAGAAAGAGGAATGTGACTAGGTGATGACGGGGCTCAATGCTACTAAATCTCAAACTGAATAACCCTCAACCTCCAAATCACAGGGTTCAGTCTCTGACAAATCTCTTGAAGCTTGCTCATGTGACAAGTAGCATGAAGAAAAAAAGTAAGCCCAAATATGCCATGACAGACTTTTGCCAAGTCTAAACCTGCACTACAAAACTTTATGCTCTGAAAGGGTACAAAGCTTGGAGAAAAGCCAAGTAAAAATATGGACAACAAAGTGGAAAGTTGTTACTTGTTTATTCAGAGGTACAATTATACCAACATTAGGGATTTGATCACACATGTGGAAAAGATGCACCACCATACAAGAGTGGCCTATTCACAGACAGGCCAATGTGATATCTAACTTATATGTAAGGTGGTGTGCCCATGTGTAGGTATAATACTGTAGGACTGCTCAGAGCCCACCACTAATACTTGTAAGGTAAACTACAACCAAATGTCCTTCCAGACCCAGTAAGGAACTCATCATAGCCCTGGGTTTTTGTACAATACCAAGGCCACCCCCAGTTTGAAATTTTTTTGTTGAAGCAAAGTGAGGGGCTCTTGATCCAATGAACTGGGCTGATCTTCCCTTGAATCATACCGTAATGCCTCCCATTTCTCAAATACTCTATGACCCTTATGGGTTTAGTGCTTTTTGCTTATTAAAATAGCTTCATTGCATTTCAAAGTGGGCCAGACTATGTAAATGCAGCCTCTCCTTACTTAGCGATGTACTTGTTTACTGACGACTCGGACTTACGACAGGCTCTCTGACCAGTATGCATACCCAAATAGTGTATGTTAGAGCTGATTTCCTCTATTCTCTTTATTAGAATATACAGTACTACTGTATAAACATTTAAAAATACAGTGGACCCCCGGTTAACGATATTTTTTCACTCCAGAAGTATGTTCAGGTGCCAGTACTGACCGAATTTGTTCCCATAAGAAATATTGTGAAGTAGATTAGTCCATTTCAGACCCCCAAACATACACATACAAACGCACTTACATAAATACACTTACATAATTGGTCACATTCGGAGGTAATCGTTATGCGGGGGTCCACTGTATATCAGAAATGTTATAAATGGTGCAAAGGTGACATTTAAAATGCAGTGGACCCTCGGTTATCGGCTGTTCCTTTTATCGGCCAACTCGGTGATTGGCCATTATTTCGGTGATTGGCCGTTTTGGACGCGTCTGTCCATCGGCTGGGGCCACTTGTGTGTCAGTTTGTCTGTCTTTCGGTGTGTGGTAAAGAAACTGAGGAACACCGTGGAATTTAAGTGTGAGGTGTAGCAGGCATACAGGGATTGTAGCAGGTATGTAGAGAGTGTAGCAGGGATGCAGGAAGTGTAGCAGGCATGCAGGAAGTGTAGCAGGCATGCAGTGAATGTAACAGGCATACAGGGAGTGTAGCAGACATGCAGGAAGTGTAACAGGCATGCAAGGAGTATAACTGGCATGCAGGAAGTATAGCAGGCATGCTGGGAGTGTAGCAGACATGCAAGAAGCATAGCAGGCATGCAGGAAGTGTAGCAGGCATTCCAGAAGCCAGCATTAGTCTTCATTAAAGGTATGTAATACTGATTTAATTGTTAAAATTATTTTTTAGTGAATATTTTTGTCTAGAATGGATTAATTGTAATTACATTAATTCTTATGGGAAATATTATTTCGGTTTTTGGCCATTTCGGTTTTAGGCCGAGCTTCTGGAATGGATTACAGCTGATAACTGAGGGTCCACTGTAATATCTAAGATGGTTGACATAAACCCACTACCATTATAGTATGCTCCTCACTTAGCGACGAATTTGTTTACTGACGTTATCTTAGGAAAGGAACTCCGTCGTTAAGGGGGGAGAGGCTGTGCTAAGAATCCTATAGAGAGACTGCTCTTCACCCTGCTACTTACCCGGTAGTAGGTAATAAATACACAGTAATTGAAAATTTTTAACTTTTTTATTATTTTGGATGTAATAAATTAGTATTAATCATAAGGATTTTTCTTTACATCCAAGCTGACAAAAATGTTATCTAGTATTTTTTTTAAATATGTACATCTTTAACTGTAATTTTTTTAATTATAGTGATTTGATTTAAGAAATGCTTATTTAAATAGCTGTGCTGTAATTTAGCTTCAACAAACTATTGAGTAAAGGCTTGCATTCCTACTTTAATAGTTACCTGAACCGGTCTTACTGGGAGCAGCAGCAGCAACAGCAGCATCAGCATCCCATACCTCAACCACAGAAGCATGCACAGCAGCTGGTTGACTCAGGCCGTACCCTTTCCCCAACACAACCATCAGCTCCCACCACCGGTAACAAGATGTTACTCTCACCATCGAAACTAGAGCCAATGAAGATGATGGAGAACTACCAAAATGGAGAGACTGAGGAAGTGGACGAGTTTGTGTCCACTTTACGCACTCAGTTGGAGATATTTGTCAATCGAATGAAGAGCAACCAAAGCCGTGGGAGACCCATAGCTAATGACACTTCAGTTCAAACCCTCTTTATGAACATTACAGCCATGCATGCTCAACTTCTGAAATACATACACCAGCAGGATGACAAAAGAGGTCAGTTCAAATTAAGTTTTTATTTCTTTATTGTGTATAAAATAATTAGTGAAATTTGAAAGAGTGAGCATATACATATGTTTATTTACTGCACTACACTACACTGTATAGAGTACATGAGAAAGGTATTGGAAGATTTTGTGGTCTTTTAAAAGGATTATCTGCTAAGGAAGCTAAACCACTGTCTATAGGAAAGGTCAGAATTCTTGGTAGTAAAGTGGAAGGCTGCTCCTTCCCTCCTGTCCCATCATAGTGCCAATATGAAAGTGGGTGAAAAGGAATAAAATATTTGTTATTATACCATATTTGAATGCGGAGATTGGGTAACAAGGGTGGAACTGCAACTGAGATATAACATTTTTACTACTGCTACTATTACAACTGCACCACATTTTTATTTTAAGCCTACTTAAATCTGCTGTAAGATATTGATTTCTAAAAATATTCCCAATGGTAATAATTGCTTTTTGTTAGAAGGCTCTGGCCAGAAATTATTAATGCTTGACAGTTAGATGACTGTTGTCAGGCTCTGACTTGGGAATGTATATGCTTAACAAATGTAATACTAATAAGCAATTCATCAAATAATAATATAGACAATATTAAGAGGATTACACTAGGTAAAGGTATATCAAAGGTAAGGATATATACAGGAGAAGGGGTTACTAGCCCCTTGCTCCTGGCATTTTAGTCACCTCTTACAACACGCATGGCTTACAGAGGAAGAATTCTGTTCCACTTCCCCATGCAGGTAAGAGGAAATAAACAAGAACAAGAACTAGAAAGAAAATACAGTGGACCCTCAACCAGCGATATTAATCCGTTCCTGAGAGCTCATCGTTAATCAAAATAATCGTTAGTCAAGTTAATTTTCCCCATAAGAAATAATGGAAATCAAATTAATCCGTGCAAGACACCCCAAAGTATTGAAAAAAAAAATTTTTACCACATGAAATATTAATTTTAATACACACAAACTGAAGAAGACATGCACAGTTATATGACACTTACCTTTATTGAAGATCTGGTGATGATTGATGGGATGGGAGGAGGGGAGACCATTGATCTTGTTAAGTGTTTAGAAGGGGAATCCCCTTCCATTAGCACTTGAGGCAGCAAGTCTTTTTCTGGGGTTACTTCCCTTGTTCTTTTAATGCCACTAGGACCAGCTTCAGAGTCACTGGACTTCTGTCGCACAACATATCTGTCCATAGAGGCCTGTACCTCTCGTTCCTTTATCCTAAAGTGTTTCACAACATTGCCAATGTAATAGTCACCAGCACGGCTTGCAATAGCTGTGTGAGGGTGATTTTCATCAAAAAAGGTTTGCACTTTAAGCCACATTGCACACATTTCCTTAATCTTTGAAGTAGGCAACTTCTTCAATTTCTCTCTCCCCTCCTCCGAAGCAGTTTCCTCAGGTGTGGCCTCTTACTGTTGAAGATGATCTAGCAGCTCATCAGTGGTTAGTTCTTCATTGTCCTCCTCCACCAACTCTTCCACATCCTCCCCACTAACCTCACCAATATGAGCACTAGTTCCAGGCATTTTTTCCTGTTCACCTGGGTGTTAGTCAACTGTTGTGGGTCACATCCTGGGGGACAAGATTAAGGACCCCCAATGGAAATAAGTTAGACAGTCCTCGATGATGCACTGACTTTCTTGGGTTATCCTGGGTGGCTAACCCTCCGAGGTTAATCGTTTCTTGGTAATTGTTTCACGTTAAGCCACACCAACAACACTCTCTCCACATCTTCGAGTAATACAGCTGATTGTGGTGCAGCAACAACAACAGCTGACTGTGGTGCAGCAGCAGCTGCACCTTTGGCAAGAACAGCTTCCTTGATTGCCGTTTTCTTACCCACAATAGTAGCGATGGTTGATTGGGGTTTATTATACAACCTGACCAGCTCAGAGACACGCACTCCACTTTCATACTTAGCAGTGATCTCTTTCTTCATCTCCGTAGTAATTCTCACCCTTCTTGCTGTAGGGTTGGCACTAGAAGCTTTCTTGGGGCCCATGGTGACTTATTTTGCAGGTGCAATCACTACAAAGGCTGTGATAATATGAAATGTTCCAATTGTTGTATGTTTGGAAGCGACTGCGGTGGCTGGCTGGCTTGTAAACACTGACACCCAAGGGACAAGTGAGGCACGCTCAGGCCAAAGTGGACGCGTATGGTACGGAACGAATAGCACTGGTCGGGTTTTTAAGCGCTAGTTGAGGCAAAAATTTTGCGTTTAAATGTATCACTAGTCAGATTTATCGTTAATCGATGCCATCGCTGGTTTAGGGTCCACTGTTGAAGAAAACTCAGAAGGGTGTGTATAAATATGTTTGTACATGTATGCATAGTGTGACCTAAGCGTAAGTAGAAGTAGCAAGACGTACCTGAAATCTTGCATGTGTATGAGACAGAGAAAAGACACCAGCAATCCTACCATCATGTAAAACAATTACAGGCTTCCGTTTTACACTCACTTGGCAGGACGGTAGTACCTCCCTGGGCGGTTGCTGTCTACCAACCTACTACCTAGTAGTTAGGGGATTTATAGAAAAAATTAGTAGCACATAAAATGTTAAGCTAGAAGATAACCAGTAATTAATAAGGGTGGTTATGGGCCATATTTTTACAATAATTTTTTTTAGTGCATTAGTACAGTATTTTGGTATTGCCAGGGTTATTGATTTTGAAAAAAACAGAATAGATAACTTTAACCATTTGACTGTCGCGGCCGTGTATATACGTCTTACGAGGTACCGTGTTTGACGTATATATACTCATAAATTCTAGTGGCTTCAAATCAAGAAGGAGAAAGCTGATAGGCCCACATGTGAGAGAATGGGTCTGTGTGGTCAGTGTGCACCATATAAAAAAAATCCTGGAGAACACAGTGCATAATTAGAAAAAAAAAAACTCCGACCATTTTTTTTTAATTAACCCTTTGACTGTCGCGGCTGTATATATACGACTTACGAGGTACCGTGTTTGACGTATATATACTCATAAATTCTAGCGGCTTCAAATCAAGCAGGAGAAAGCTGGTAGGCCCACATGTGAGAGAATGGGTCTGTGTGGTCAGTGTGCACCATAAAAAAAAAATCCTGGAGCACGCAGTGCATAATGAGAAAAAAAAAAAAACTGACCGTTTTTTTTAATTAAAATGCCGACTTTGTGGTCTATTTTCATATAGTATTTATGGTTGTACTCTCGTTTTCTTGGTCTCATTTGATAGAATGGATAACATGTTATAGAAATAGTGGTGATTTTGATTGATTTTGCTATAAAAAGAACCTAGAAATGGAGCTCAAAGTAGGGGAAATGTTTGATTTTTGCCAATGTTCAAAAGTAAACAAATGATGCCATTGTCCAATAAATGTCCAACTAGCCATTCTAATATGCAGTCATGAATGGGTTGATGTTATTTATACAATTATTACAGTATTGCAGTAGTCTGCATAATAGTAAGTCTTCTATTTTTTGTTTGAATAAAAATTCAAAATAGAAAGCAAGAGTAATATCAGAGGGGCCTGGAGACGTGACTGATGAACAAAGAAAATGTTATTTTAGAGCCAGGAATGTCTGCATTGTTCATTCTGGACCTTATTTTGAAATTGTCATATTTTTTAGTTTTCGTGAAATTGGCCAAATTGCAAATTTCTGACCACATTATTAGGTAGTTGAAATCGGTAAATGGGCAGTTTCTTGTACTCAATCGATAGAAAAAATGGAGTTCTAAAGAAATAGCTATGAGTTTGGTTTACTGGAACAATGGAATTAGCCGAATTTGCCGATTTGTAAATATCGCCGAGGTCGCTAACTTCGCGAGACCGTAATTCCGTCAGTTTTCTATCAAGTTTCGTTTTTTTGGTGTCATTACAATCCAGGAGACACCTCAGGATCGGGGGTTGCGACAGTCAAGGGGTTAACCAGACAAGAAAGATTAATAAACATTAATCATGTTTAAACAGTGGCATTAGTATTTGATGCTGGAAGCATAGTTATTTTTGTTAATTGCTTTGAGCTTTGAAATGTTTAGTACAACAAACAGTATTTACTTCTAGTGAATTTTGAACGACTTCAAGACAAAATTTCTCAAGTTCGTGATGCTCGAGCAGCCTTAGAAGCTCTTCGAGAAGAACACCGTGACCGTGTGAGACGTGAAAGAGAGGAGCAGGAACGCTTGAGGTAAATAAATACCATAATTGTTGATTATTTTTTTTTCAACAAGTTGGCCATCTCCCACCAAGGCAGGGTGACCCAAAAAGAAAGAAAATCCCCAAAAAGAAAATACTTTCATCATTCAACAATTTCACCTCACTCATACATAATCACTCTTTGCAGAGGCACCAAGATACAACAGTTTAGAAGCATATATAAAGATATATAACATATCCCTCCAAACTGCCAATATCCCAAACCCCTCCTTTAAAATGCAGGCATTATACTTCCCATTTCCAGTACTTAAGTTCCGTTATATAAAAATAGCTGGTTTCCCTGAATCTCTTACTAAATATTACCCTGCTCACACTCCAACAGCTCGTCAGGTCCCAATAACCATTCGTCTCCATTCACTCCTATCTAACACGCTCACGCACGCTTACTGGAAGTCCAAGCCTCTCGCCCACAAAACCACCTTTACCGTCTCCCTCCAACCTTTTCGAGGATGACCCCTACCCTGCTTTCCTTCCCCTACAGATTTATATGCTCTCCATGTCATTCTGTTAGGTAGGTTGGTAGACAGCAACTACCCAGGGAGGTACTACCGTCCTGCCAAGTGAGTGTAAAAAGGAAGCCTGCATTTGTTTTACATGATGGTAGGATTGCTGCTGTCTTTTTCTTTCTGATAAACATACAAGATTTCAGATACGTCTTCCTACTTCTACTTAGGTCACACTTTACATACATGTACACATTTATGTATACACACACATATCTGAGTTTTCTTAGATTTTGTCTTAATAGTTCTTTTTCTTATTGCTTTTCCTTGAATAATGGGCTATTAACCCCTTTTCCCGTATGGCCTACTAAGAAGAAAACTGTCAGTGGTATGTTTGAATAATTGTTGATGTATGAAAAAAAATCGAGCTATCTTGTAGAAAGAATTGACAGTTTTTCTTAAATTTCTTTTCTGTGATAATGCATAAGAAAAATAAAATGGACCAGAAGTTTATATTTTCTTGTTTTTAGAGAAAATAAAGAATTGGAGGTAAAGTTAATAGTAATTTATGGTTTTACACTGTTGGTCAGATGCTGAACTTCAATAAATATTTTTGGAGAATTAAGATCAATAGGGAAAGAATCTCCAAAATTCTCGGATGCAGAGTTCAGATTTTTAGTGGGTAGATTAATATAGTACAGTGGACCCCCGCTTAACGATCACCTCCCAATGCGACCAATTATGTAAGTGTATTTATGTAAGTGCGTTTGTACATGTATGTTTGGGGGTCTGAAATGGACTAATCTACTTCACAATATTCCTTATGGGAATAAATTCGGTCAGTACTGGCACCTGAACATACTTCTGGAATGAAAAAATATCGTTAACCGGGGGTCCACTGTACTGTATATGTTTTTTACGATTTTACCCCAGGAATAGAACATACAGTACAACATAGTTATGAATTAAATGGGAGCAGACTGGCATATTACTTATCTAAAATAGTCTATAATACTGGAAAAACTTAAAAAAAAAAAAAAAAAAAGGTGGTACTGTATAATACTACTACAAAATTACATCCTTTGAATTCCTTAGTCTCTACTGATGGTAATTTGATAATGACAAATACAAGTTTTTTTTGTTTCCTGTAATTCCAGATACTTTTGTCATATCATTTGATGCTTTATGACACTTCAGTGCAATTAATTTTACATCCAAACATCCTCGCTGTGAATTATTGTAATTTTGGATGCCAATTTCATGAACCAAGAAATTTGTAGCTTTCTGTGAATGTGCCAAACATTGCACAGCATTTACTTCTGGGAGGAGGGGATTTATAAAAGTAACTTTCATCATTTTCTTTAAAGCCTTAGATATTGCTAAAAAGAAAAGATGCTATTCTGTTACTGTTAATTTAAACAGGAAACTCTTCATAAGTTTGCTACCATTCATATTTGGATACTTGGTGGTCTATCCAGTACTGTTCTGTCTTGTAATGGGATGCTTGGTTTAAAAAAATTACAAGAGTTGACATGTGACAAATTCAAACTAAAAAGAACAGAACGATGAAGTATTGTACTGTATGTGAAAGAAAATACATATATGGAATATTTTGTCAGTATGAAACTGTTTTCGAAAGTGCTGTATATTTAGTACCTAATACTAGTCTTGCACTAGTATTATAATCATGGGGAAGCTCTAAACCTGTAGGATTATACAGCACATGTAGGGGGGGGGATAGAAGGTATTCAGGCTCAATTGAGGGAACCCCTGCACAAGTAGACCTATGTGTAAAGGAAAAAGATTCAGACTTATTTATTCATATGATTATTATTTTTTGTTTGTTTTATTTCAGGCAAATACAGATGATGCAGAAGCTGGAAATTATGAGAAAGAAGAAACAGGAGTATCTTGAATATCAGCGTCAGCTTGCCCTTCATCGCATGGCAGAGAGTGAACGTGAAATATTCAACAAAGCATCTGGGATTGGTGCACCAGGCCCAATGTACTCTGTTGGGTATCCTGCATATCCAGGCGCACCAGGTCCTATGCCAGGACACATGTTCCCACCGCAACCTGAGGGTGCACCGCCTAACTCAATGCCTTTCCAACCTCCTCCTGGCCAACCCCAGTATCAGCATCCTCCTGGATGTGTGATGCCTGTTGGACCAGGACCTACCCAACCAGGTTCTCAACCAGGTTACCAACCACCACCACCTCCAGAGTTCTCTCCATATAATATGCAAGGTATAACATTAGTTAAGGTGTAAGCTTAATGCTTGTAATGCAATTTTTTTTTTTTTTTTTAAACAGAGCAGAGATGGAAAACAAAAAGTGCTAAACCCACTAGGATCACAGAGTGCTGTCTTGTGCTCTGAATCAGCAAAGCTAGTCAAAATCAGCCAGCCTTTCTTGAATGCAGTCACCAAGATAATAAAAATTCTGGGGCCAGATGTGGCTTTTATAAGACTGAATGAATGATGTGAAAGTTTCCTCTTTGTTGGGGGATATCACTGCCTTCCTGGGAGATGGCCAATGTAGTTAAAAAAACAAATGGATATAGGGTTTTAGGATAATGATTACAAGACTGGCTCACAAAATCATAATGACACTATTGTAAACAAACTGAAGACCCCTCAAGGGAGGTTCCTTGATGCTGGTGAGGGGCTCTTGACCTAGGGAATTGGATATGTGCTTCAGCTCCCTGAATACCTTCCACCCCCCCCCCCACAGGCGTTGTATAATCCTACGGGTTTAGCGCTTCCCCATGATTATAATAATAATTGAACCCGTGGCGAGTCATAAAACTCCAGACAGACATGTTAGCTATATTGTTCTTACTCCAGAACAATCATTTGGTGGACATTGTCATTATAGGTCCTCTTCAAGGGGGGCTCCTTGGCATGGTGAAGAGGCTCTTGGTCTGAGGAATTAGACCTGTCGGTCTACTTCCTCAGACCGAACCTAATTACCCCCCAATCCCCCGTTCCTATCGCATCCTCCCCCTTTTTTCCTTTCCCTCCTCCTCCTCCTTCCCCACCCCCTCCTTTTCCCCTTCCTTTTTGGCCTTTTTTTTTTTTTTTTTTTTTTCCAAAGGCACGCTATTTCCTAGGTAGGGGAAAGGGTACCGGGGTCCATCCCATTCCCGTTAAGTTCTATGCGGTGGCGAGTTTGCCGGGACATCTTGATTTGCTGGATGTCCTGAATCCTCTCCGGTATCCCCCGGAGTGTGGCTTTGGTGTCTCTCGGGAGACGGGTGTATTGCTCGGAAGCCACCTTTCGGATTCTGGGGGTGGGGGCCGAAGGAGGTATGCTTTGTGGCGGAATTTCCGACCGCCCTCAATCTTGTCCACCGAGAAGCTCAGCAGATGTGTGTAGGTTGCATATCCCGATTGCCGGTTTAACAGGCATGATGGGTAGGTATGGCACGGGTTCCATACTGCATCTGCGCTACCTTGCGGTGTCTGAGGTCCTCTTGGCGCGGAGGGGAGATTTCTGAACCCCTTTCATTCCTCCTAGGAACTAACCCTCCCCTTCCCCCCCCTTTTTTTAATTCTTTTTTTTTTATTTTTTATTTTCTTTTCTTTCTTATTTTTCTTAAAAAACAAAAAGAAAGAGTAACCTAACCATGGGCAGCCCTAGTCCATTAACCTGCTACCCCCCACGGTGCCCCTTCTTGATACCGCAACCCCGTTATGACCCACCGCCTGTCTTTGGACCACTCTTTCGACACTCCTGCATGGCCTCTGTACTCTAGCCAGTGCCGTTTCCTCACCCGCCGCTTCAGGTACTGAGGCCTCGACTGACTCCTTCGATTTTATCTGACCTTCTTCGCTCTCCCTGACTATCTTCCGGCCTCTCCCCTCTACGGTGCGGCAATTTTCAGAATCGCCGGCCCGTTCCACTCGGACCAACTCTGGTCCACCACTCCTAAACGACAACGACCTATTAACTGCTGATGAACTTCCTCCACCTTCTCGTTCTTCTCAGAAAAGATCGACACGTCCTTCACTACCTTTCCCCGCTCAGTTTCAGACTGCACAATGGACTAATTCTTCACTTTACGACCGACTTCCCTACTGCCTATTCTTCTGACCACAGTATTGGCAAGCACTCCTTCGCCATTTTGGTAAAGAATATTCTTTTCAATGCTCTTAAAGCGTACGCGCATCGTCACCGAACAGAATGCTACCCAGCCATGAGCATTTTCTCCGACGTTTCCATATCGATACTGTTCCTGTAACTATTGATAAAGCATCATTCCCCTCAAATTCCTTGTAGTGGTACCATACATTCTGGGCCCCCATACCATAGTTCAAACAAAATTTCAGACATGTGGCACTGACATTCTTGAACAGAGCTGGAACTCCAAGATCTCCCAATCCTCGAGGTAGACACTTACATTCTTCCTGCCCGCGGGCGGAGATGATACCCTAGCAAAGTGGCTCGTTAACTTTTGACAGCCGTGAATTCCCAATCCTCAGTTTATTAGCAGACACCGGTTACGAAGTTCTAGGTGGATCCCTACACCGCAACATAGTGTAGAAATTGCTGGCGATTTGGCCATCTCCAGCAGCGAAATATCGCAGATCTATCTCCGAATGCCCAGTCGTGGTGCCGATGACCATTCCTAATACGACTTGCAATCGACCCTCCCTCTTGCCTTAATTCCTCTTCACGGGGGCTCCTTGGCATGGTGAAGAGGAGCTCTTGGTCTGAGGAATTAGCCCTGCGGTCTTCCTTCCTCAGACCGAACCTAATTACCCCCCATTCTCCCCTCCCCTATCCCACCTCCACTTTTCCCATTCCTCCTCCTACTCCTCCCCCCTCCCTTTATGCCCTTCCTCTTTTAGGGCCTTCGTGATTTCTTCTCACCACAGGCGCGCTAGTATCCCTAGGTAGGGGAAAGGACACCGGGTCCATCCCATTCCGTTGAGGTTTCTTGGCGGTGGCGTAGTTTGCCGTGGAATCTGGATTGCCTAGGGATTCCCGATCCCTCTCCGTATCCCCGGTACTTTGGGTTGCTTTGGGCGACGGGTGTATCTCTGGAAGCCACCTTTCGTATTCCGGGGGTGGTGGCTGAAAGGAGGTATGCTTTGTGGCGGAATATGCCGGCCGCCCACATCTTTTTGTCCACCGAGGTAGCTCGGCAATTTGAGTTTGGCTATCCCCCAGATTGCTGGTTTACTGGCATGAAGGTAGGGTATGGCACGGGTTCCATGCTGCATCTTTCTCTGCGCTACATAGCGGTGTCGAGTCCCCTTTGGGCGCGAGGGAGTTTCTGGCCCTTTTCATTCCTCTAGGAACTACCCTCCCGCGGTCCCCCCTTTTGTTTTTTTCATTTTTTTTGTTTTTATTTTCTTTTCTTCTTTCTTTTTTTTCTTAAAAACAAAAAGAAAGAAAGTAACCTAACCATGGCAAGCCCTAGTCCATGAAAAAAACCCTAAAGTTACCCCCCCCCGGGCCCTTTTTGATACCGCACCCCCGTTCTGACCCCGCTCTCGTCTTTGACACCTCAGACATTCCTCATGCCTCTGTACCTATTGCCGGTGCTGCTTCCCCCTCCCCCACCCGCTTCAGGTAACTGAGCCTCGACTGACTCCATCGATTTATCAGACCTTCGCTCTCCTCTACTAATGCTTCCTCCGGCCTCTCCCTCTACGGTGCGGACAATTTTCAAAATCGCCGACCCGTTTCCATCCACGTCGGCCAACTCTGGTCCCACGCCTAAACTTCAACGACAATTACCTGCTGATTATACTTCTTCCACAACCTTCACCTTCTCGTTCTTCTCAGAAACGATTGACAAACGTCCTTTCACTACCTTTTCCCAACCTCAGTTTCAGACTGAACATGGACTAAATTCTTCACTTTACGACCAACTTCCTCTACTGCCTAAGCTTTCTGACCATATATTGGCAAGCACTCCTACGCCATGTTGGTAAAAATTTCTTTTCATGCTCTTAAGAGCGGTACGCGCATCAATTACCGTACGAGAAATGCTACCCAGGCTCGTGGAGCTCTCTCGTCTTTTCTCCTATAGATAACTGTTTCCTGTCACCCTTGAAAAACATCATTCCTCCATTCTTGTAGTGTACCGTTATTCCTGCCCCATACCTTAGTTAACAAAATTTTCCAGACATGTGCACCGACATTCTCGAACAGCTGGAACTGCCAAGATCTCCCAATCACACAATGTATGACACTAACTTCTTCCTGCCCGTGGGCGGAGACGATACTCCTAGCAATGTGGCCTCGTTTAACTTTTGACAGTGCCGAGAAACTCCCATCCTCCGTTTATAATAGCAGAACATCGGTTACAAGTTCGAAAGGTGATCCCCCTACACTCACAACAGTGTAAGAAATTGCTGGCGGATTTGGCCATCCAGCGAAATATTGGCAGATCCTATCGCCGAATGCCCATCTGTGGTGCCGATGACCATTCTAATACGTCTTGCAATCGATCTCCTCCTCTTTGCCCTTAACTGTCATGAGGCTCACACCTTCGTACTCTCGGTTGCCTTGTCAGTCTATTTAAAACGAGCGGGAAACCGTTACCTCAAAGAGACAGAAGGTCTCCCTTTATGCCATGCAAGTTTCTCATCCCGCCTCCAAGGGAGACTCCGCACGTGTTTCTTATTCCCGTGTTTCAAAACGTACCCCCCACTTCTGTTATCCCCATCTTTACACCCACCTCTGTGGTTACCTTCTCCCATAATCACTCCTGTATCAATCCTTTTGCCCTGTCCTCGGCTCAGAACGTCCCTACATCAAACGCCCATCTAATCTCGCTTCTTCGAGTTCTCTCTTACAAGCCTCAGTATCGACGAGACCTCGTACACAAACCTTCTTCCCAATCGTCCCTCACTTCTCAAAAAGTCAAAAAAAGGTCCGTTACAAACCTCCTACCCATCTTCCACCTCCTCATTTTACCCTCCCTGTCTCTGTCCCTAGTTCTTCCCCTCTCACTGGCTCGGTTTACAAGTGCAGAGGTTCACCCCTTCTCCCTCGTAATGTACCTTCCTCCCCTGTTTCCCTCCCAAGTTTCTTCTTTCCTCTTCTTGCCACCACCCAGGTTTCCTGTCTCCTTCTGTCCCCTGCCAACGCTTCTGCCATTCCCTCCAACCGCTTTCGCCCCCCCATACCTGGTACAGTCCAATACAGTTCAATCTTTTACTCATCCCCCACCTACCATCCGAACAAATTGTCTCCCATACACATTCTCGAATCCGAAACACTTGAAGCAA